CGGAAGGCAGCTAGTCATCACCACCCACTGCCAACTCTTGGGCTGCTCTTTTACCAATTAATAGTGGGATTGACCGTCACATTATACCGTCCCCACGGCTGAAAGGGGTGAGCATGTTTGGTGGGATGGTGGAACCCGCGACCCCCAGATTGTGAGTCGAGCGCCATAACCACCTGGCCATGCCAGGCCCGCAATCAATTTATAAAAAGGTTTATTTTAGGCCCTAGCTTCAGGGCTAACAGGTACTCCTTCCTAACAAAACGTATCTATCAGTCCAAACACTATGGATTTAAACATTGTTGTTTCTTTAAACAAAAAGTATGATCTAAATAAACAATTTATACACATTTTCTACATGCAATCACTTTATTATTCACTTTTTCAGTTACGTATATATCTACAATTGATGTTTCACAGCCGTCGCATGACGGTTGCAACAGTATAGAATACGGTGTTTTCCAACCAGAGTAACGTGCAAGTAGCTGAAATTCAGTCACACCTGATTACAAAACACAAACAGTAGTTGTAAGTAGTTATGGCATTACTTGACCGCCCAAAGTATGCCGTTTCAGTGGGGGGCCGCCAGATGAGTGGAGATCAAAGAATGCCGCCTGAGGGTTGCATAACTGTTACGTAATAGGAACCAGAGGGTACGATCCTTTTACGTTACAATTATGTAGTCCTCAAGGGGCATCTGTTGATCGCCACTCATCTGGTGACCCCCACTGAGGCGACATCTTTTGGGCGGTCAAGTAATGCCCTAACTACTATTGTATTCTTGATTGATATGGCAGACGGTTATATTTATAGACACTGTGTTTCTTCGCACAAGCTTTTAAGTAATGATATTCAAACTATCAATTAAACACTATAATGATCACTAAAAATAAATATAAAGACCAACCTATCATTAGATTTTACACTTGTCACCGAGTTATACTGGTTTTGAGGAGTTCCATCCCTCATCAGTAACTCTGGACAAATCGGAAAAACAATACTAGACTTCTTATAATTATGAAAACCTGTTATATAAAACAATAAAGCCCTCAGACATCGTCTCAACTCGTGTATTTTAATGCATGGAATTCACTGTTTAGTGAAAGAGTACGTATTAGAATTGTAAAGATTCATGTCTTTATAAAACCCTAAAACTATAATAAAAAGTACTGATAAACATATGGTATACAAAGTCATAGTAACACTGTGGGTGGTAAGCTGGTAAGGAGATCTGATCAAAAGGTCTTGTATTAAAAAAACTTCTCAAGGGCCCATGTTTTTATATGGTAAAAAACGAGCAACCAAATATTTGAAATTATGCACCATAAAACAACTTAATAACATTCAAGTATATGTTACACGCAGTCAACAACTGTTTAACTTAATTATTTTTTTTTATGAACTAACAACGACAAACAGTTTAGAAGACTTTCGACAGGCCTTCTGACCAGCAGGTACTAATCACCAAGGAACAAAGTAAAAGTTATTAACCTTGTAACACAACAGCTTGACTTCAATAAGCCAAACTTAGAAATCCAAACTTTGATGATATGGTGATTACGCAGTCAACAACTTCTTACGTTGTTTTATTAAGAAAACAACTGGGCCCTGGTTCTTTGTTTACTAGTGTTAAAGATATCCTTCTATAAAAGAAGGCCCAATACGGACTGCAATAAGTGTACGAATAGAGATTTGTAACGTCACCTTTTTTTTTTTTGGTTTAGACTGTAAAGCAAACCTCCGAAAGATCAAAGCTACACATTACATAAACTAGCAAAAAATTTCCGCTCTCCGCTGCACGGTTTAAAGGCCACTCTCATCATTCAGAGTTCTCAATGTACTTCCATTATTCCCAGTTACTCCTATAGCTACCTCAAGGGGTTCTGTACCCGAAAACCACCCCACGTGTATCACGTTTGGTCCTCAGTGGGAGTACGAATACAGTTTCACAAATGACGCCCCAGACACCCCGGAGGGTGGGGGTAGAAACAAAACATTCGATGCCAGA